AAGGAAGGAAGGAAGGAAGGAAGGAAGGAAGGAAGGAAGGAAGGAAGGAAGGAAGGAAGGAAGGAAGGAAGGAACAAATTTAGTTCTGCCCTATCCTCTGGCTCCCAGAGGGCCCCCACCCAGTCTAGCAACCCCCAGGCTCCCCTGGAAGACTGTCCCTGGGCAGGCTCTGGAGGCCTCAGAGCTTGGAACTGGCCTGGCTGGCTGCTCGCAGGGAGCCCCAGGCCAGCTGTGCTGACTGTAAACAAGTCCCTCTCCCCTGCCCGGAGGCTCCTGCCCGGGGCACCCAGCCAGCAAGGCTCAACTCCCCAAGCCCCTCAGGACCCGCTCTTGTTTGAGAGCAGAGCCGCGTGGGTGGAACCTTGGTTTTCCTTGTTCAGAAAACAACCATAACAATTTTAACAAAAGCTTGGCATTTATTGAGCTTATACAAAAACATTGTTTCTCTCTGGTTCCTCACAGCAGCCCTGGGAGGGCCTACCTGATCTTGGTTTATGGGAACTAAGGCTTCCAGAGGCTTCCTTCTCCCGCCTCCGCCCCTGGGGCCTGGGCAGGTTCTTCTGGGCGGGCCAGGGAACCTGTTAGTTCTGCCCTCGCCTGCTTTTCCTGGAGAGAAGACCCCAGGTACCAGCTCCTGTGCCCTCTTCTACCCCACATCTTGGTCTTGTTGGTGCCCGGGCGACACCGGGGATGTCAGGATCCAAATCTACATGAAATAGCAGTAACTGAGCCCTCCAGGGCATTTCACTGCGTGGCATGCATGAGCTATGTCACTGCCGAACGCCAAGCCTTTTACATGAATTACAGAACCACTCTCGCAGGCAGATCCTGTGAGCACCACTTTTTAGATGGGGCAACTGAGGCACAAAAAGGTTAAGTCGGCTGCTGAAGATCACACAGCTCAGAAGGAGCAGAGCCAAGATTTGAACCCAGGTGGTGTGGCCTCCGAGTCTGTGACTGACCCTCCCCCTTTACTGAGGCTTGTGAGCTTAAAAAAACAAACAAAACCAAAAAACCCT